GCTTGAACCTCCGAAGTGGAGGTTGCGGTGAGCCGCGATCATGCCCCTGCACTCCAGTCTGGAATACAGAGTGAGACTTCATCTAAAAAATTAATTAATTAATTAATTTTTAAAAATTATGTAGAAGATAAAAACTTCATGTTCTTCTTAATGTTTGCTGGACTTGTCTATAAAATCATCTGGGCCAGGTGCTTTTCTTTGGTTTTGTTTTTTGTGAGATTTTTGAAGGGATGGGATACAGATTTTAAAATAAACCTTCAATTCTTTTAATGGTTCTAGATCTAGACAAACTTTTCTGTTTCTTCCTACTTCATTTTTTTTGAAGTTATATTTTTCTTTTGAGACAGAATTTCTCTGTTGCCCAGGCTCTACTGCAGTCACGCGATCTCGGCTCACCGCAACCTCCACCTCCCAGGTTCAAGTGATTCTCCTACCTCAGGCTCCTGAGTAACTGGGATTACAAGCGTGAGCCACCACACCCAGCTAATTTTTGTATTTTTAGTAGAGTTGGGGTTTTACTATGTTGGCCAGGCTGGTCTCGAACTCCTGAGGTCAGGTGATCCACCAACCTCGTCCTCCCAAAGTGCTGGGATTACAGGCGTTAGCCACCTCACCTGGCCTGAAGTTATATTTTTCTATAAAACTGTTTTGATATTTTCAAAAATCACTGGCATAACCTGGTTTATGTAATGTCGTTGTGACTTTTGTCTTAATAATATTTATTTATCATTTTTTTTTAGATTGAGCCTCACTCTGTTGCCCAGGCTAGAGTACGGTGGCCTGATCTTGGCTCACTGTGACCTCCGCCTCCCAGGTTCAAGCGATTCTCATGCCTCAGCCTCCTGAATAGCTGGAATTACAGGTACCTGCCACCACACCCAGCTAATTTTTGTGGATTTTTTTGTTTGTTTGTTTTGGGTTTTTTGTGGTTTTTTTTGAGATAGAGTTTCACTTTTGTTGCCTAGGCTGGAGTACAATGGCACAATCTCGGCTCACCACAACCTCCACCTCCCGGGTTCAAGCAATTCTCCTGCCTCAGCCTCCTGAGTAGCTGGGATTACAGGCATGCACCACTATACCAGGTTAATTTTATATTTTTAGTAGAGATAGGCGTTCTCCATGTTGGTCATGCTGGTCTCAAACTCTTGACCTCAGGTAATCCTCCCGCTTCAGCCTCCCAAAGTGCTAGGATTACAGAGGTGAGCCACTACGCCTGGCCATTTTTATATTTTTAGTAGAGACTGAGTTTCATCACGTTGGCCAGGCTGGTCTCAAACTCCTGACCTCAAGTGATCCACCAGTCTTGGCCTCCCAAAGTGCTGGGATTACAGGCGAGAGCCACCGCACCTGGCCTAGCCACCACGCCTGGCCCATTTATTTCTAAATAGACAACACATTTTTATATTTCAAAATTCAGAAGGCGCCATCTCAACCCCATCCCTATTCCTGTAGTTTCTCAGATGCAACCAAATCTATTCAGTTTCTTGGTATCTTTCTAGAGATAGTTTATGAATATAAACAAATATCCAAATAAATATGTTCTTTTGCTTTTTTAAAAAAATACTAATGGTACTTTATTGTACATATTGATCTGTTCCTTTCTCTTTCTTTCTATTGTTTTGTTTTATTTTTTGAGACAAGGTCTTGCTCTGTGGCCTAAGCTGGAGTATACTTGTGCAATCTGAGCTCACTGCAGCCTTGACTTCCCGGGCTCAAGTAATCCTCCCACCTCAGCCTGCCGAGTAGCTGGGACTACAGGGACATGCCACCAAGCCCGGATAATTTTTTTATGTGATGTAGAGGCAGAGTTTCACCATGTTGCCCAGGCTGGTCTCAAACTCTTGGGGTCCAGTGATCTGCCCACGTAGGCCTCCCAAAGTGCTGGGATTACAGGCATGAGCCACCATGCCCGGCCTCCACCTCTTATAGTGGACCTGATATTAAAATACCCACCTCCTATGATGAAAAGGAACTGAATGAGTGTGGAATCCCTAGGACCGTGCTGGCTTATAATGGGCCCTTGGGGTTTAGTTTAATAGCAAATTACAAGGTGCCCATTCCTCAAAATCTTCTATAGACATCTTCCAGGAAACTGCCATGGATAAATATCTGCAAATCAAAGCAAAACTTTAGGGACAAACTACATCAGTCTTCACCTGTGAATTTCGCATCTATGATGCAAATGACACCGCCTCTAAAGTGTTACCCTTCTGTAGTGCACTACCTGGGCAACTGTCCTCAGCAAAGTTAGAGTAATCTGCAGGAACTGAGTGGTGGCTGCCCCCTTTACAGAGGCATGTTTTCAACTTGCCACAGTCTGCACCCTTCCGCTTTGTGCTGTGCCTGGTGCATTTTACTCACTGATATTACCCAACATCTGAAGGTGTTTAAGTTTGACCATTGACCTCTCATTTCATAGTGAACTTTAGAGAGGTGAAAGGATTCACCCAAGATCACTCAGGAAGTGTGCAGTGTCAGCAAGTTAGCAGTAAGTTAAAACTAGGCCTTGAGTCTCTTGTCACTTCACAGCAGGACTCTTACACCAGCTACATCTCTCACCAGATGGTCCAAGGCATTCGGTTGTCTCTGGCTTTGGTGGTTGTGGGAGGGGTGGATCAGAGATGCTCTGGGCCACGTTATGGCTCTAGCCCACATGCAAGCAAGCTGGAAACTGAATTGCCTCTGCAGCTGCAGAAGACTAATTTCTATATTGATATTTGGAAAAACTGACAGCTAGAAAACACCACTCAACTCATTTTTAAAAATACGATCATATTAAATGGCATTACACGCATTATTTATATATTGCTCGCAGTACCAGCATCCTCAAATATGGTTCTAATTTTGGTAGATATCTTGCTAGGGGAGCACATTTCTAAGTTATCCAGATATAGCACCCTCTTTCCTTCTCTTTCTGTCCACATGCAATCAGATGCTTTGTGGCACTAAAGTTGACATTTATTTAAATGCCATTTGGTGTCTGGTTTTTTTCCACTTTTAATTTGGGGTTTTCTATCTGGGGTGTAAGTAAAAGAATCACTTGGAGGGCTTTTTCAAAATACCAATGGCCAGGCCACTAGCCAGTCAATCAGAAGCAAAATCTCCTTGGATGGGACCTGGAAGTCTTTTCAGCTTTCCAGCATTTTAATGAACACCCCTGATTAAGAACCACCGGGTCTTAAGAGTGTGGCATATGTATTTTTCAAGTTCCTAGAGGCTCTCCAAAAACAAACAAACAAACAAAAATCTGCTTTGTTCTCTGCCTGGTATTGATGCGTCACTGTCTCTTTAGCCATTAGTCTGATCCTGGATATTTATGGTCATAATCTGATGAGCAACATTGGGAATGACTTCTTTATTTTTGTTTGTTTGTTTGTTTGTTTTGAGACAGAGTCTCACTCTGTCGACCAGGCTGGAGTGTAGTGGCATGATCTCTGCTCACTGCAACCTCCACCCCAATACTTTTATTTTTAAATATTATTTATGGCATCCAGATTTGCATAAGATGGACTGGGTCAAAGGCCATGCCCTTTATAAATCAATATTCTTAAGTTCTACAAATTCACTTTCCTAAAGAGCCAAATCACATCCTACTCATCAGCAACGTGGGTAGACATCATTTTCACAATCATTTCTAATTTTCCACCATTGTAAAAAATATATATATTTAATTACTTTCTTACTGTAAAATAAACAATTTACTTTTCCAGGACCCACTGCCTCCCGGCTCCCCCTTTTTTTTTTTTTTTCCAAATGATCTTGAACCCTTTGTCAGGAGTCAGTTGCCAAGAGAAGCCTGTTGGGTTTGAGAGCAGTTCTTGCAGACACAGACCACTTCCTCTGAGAATTCATTTGCTTCCCCAGGATGGAATCCAGTTGGGTCCCTGAACTTGCCGGTCATGTAGGCCGGGGCCTCCATCAATCATACCCTGCACTCCTTTCTGTGTCTAAACAGCACGCCCCACCCCCAACTGCACAGCAGCCACTTGCATAGCACTCTGGGAGGGCTCTAGGCATGAGCAGTGAGGACTCCAGCAGCAGCTCCCCCAAATAACCACTGCTAATGAGGGTGGCTTGAGAAGCAGCTTGGATGTGCTGGTAAATCTAGTTGCAAAATGAAAGTAAATTTAAAGCCTCAGCACAGTGCTTACTTTGAAGTATTCTTACTCTAGTGTCCTGTGTGGCAGTATTGAAATTGTTCAGTGCTAAGACTCAGAGGAGAAAAGCACGTAGCATCACAGGACTTGGAGCACTGGTGCTGAGGCAACCCTTCATTCATTCCTCGGATGTGTGTTCAGGCCCAGGCCCAGGGCAGGGATCAGGGATTCTCCTCTCACACAGCGCGCAGGTGGCAGGACCAACACCGGGTCTGATCCCCCAGCTGACGGCACAGGCTGCTAACCCCAGGCCTGGAATCTGTCAGATGCCCTTCCTGTTCTGACTTTACTTAGACAGGCCTCCTGACCTTCCTACAAAGATCATGTGTGACTCTCAAGGGTTCTAGCTGCTTGACAGGTTCCTGAGAAAGTACATGCAATGAGGACAGGGCTTGCAGAGGGAGCACAGACATGCAGAAGGCTCTGTGTGCAGCCCTAGACCTGGGCGCCTTTGTCACCGTCCTCGCCCCACCTCCAAGTATGCAGAGAGGGGGCAGGCCTCCTGTGTTGTGGCCCAAGCAGGGCTGTCAGGACACTGAGAACATTTCCTCCTCCCACAGGAGACAGAGGTCCAAGGTGCCCTACATCGTACGCCAGTGCATGGAGGAGATCGAGCGCCGAGGCATGGAGGAGGTGGGCATCTACCGCGTGTCCGGAGTGGCCACGGACATCCAGGCACTGAAGGCAGCCTTCGACGTCAGTGAGTGTTGGCCTGCGCAGGACGGGATGGAGATGTGGGCGGTGGTGTCCACGATGCAATCTCAGAGCGCTCCATGGCCCGGGCATGTCACATCCTTCTCTGTGTCTTTTCTTCATTTACTGTTTTATTATTTTTAAAAAAGAGAAAACAAGAGTTGTAGAAAAAGCTTCTATAGAAGCCAGTTTGTACACCATCGTACCCACTCATGCCACTTGCTGGGGTGAACCAGGGGCTTCTGTGGGGCCTTGGCCTTCCTGCCTTGGGGGTGGACAGGAGGTGGAAGCCCAGGACTCAGTGTGGTCTGTCCACTGCCCTGTGTGAGGATGTGGTGTGAAGAGGGCACTGATGGGACCCAGCTCAGGCCGGGGCTGCAGCATCTCCACCTCCATCTCACAAACCCTCACAGGCTTTGAAGGACCCGGACCTGCCTCAAATGCCAGGGGAGGGCACCGAGACCCCAGAGGGTCCTTTCCAGCATCCTCAAAGCAACAGGATTTTGTGCCTGCAGACCCTTCTGTGTAGCACTCACCACCGACCCTGACCAGGACCCCTACAATGCTCAGCACCCCTGGGAGGGCCCTGTGGTGATTTCAGCTCACTCTGGGGGCCCAGAATAGACCTGGCCTATGGTGAGGACATAAGCACCAGTGACCAATTGGGTCCAAAGGAAGACACCGGTTCAGACACTGAAACCAATCAGATTCTCCCACAGCCTTCCTGCCATCAGAAGACACTGGTGCAGGGGTGGTTGCTAGGTACAGGGCAGAGTCACCCGATTCCCACGCAGGCACCGCGTCCTGCCGTGCTGGCCTCCTCCTGGCCGTCACATCGGGCCAAGCAGGGGAGAGGAATGGGAATGCCCATGCAGCCCCATCAACTCTGGAGACACAGAACTACGCACAGCTCTTGGGAGGGGTCAGATGAGCTGCTCAAAGCCCAGGAGGGACCTGCACAGTGGTCAGCGTGGCAGGGACGGTGCTTTAGCCAAGGCTGGGATGGTGGGAGACTCACTTGGGATCCTGAAGGAGGCCGCTGCATTTCCGTGCTCTTTCCAGGTAATAAGGACGTGTCGGTGATGACGAGCGAGATGGACGTGAATGGCATCGTAGGCACGCTGAAGCTGTATTTCCGTGAGCTGTCCGAGCCCCTCTTCACTGACGAGTTCTACCCTAACTTCACCGAGGGCATCGGTGAGCACTGGAGGCCTTGGCCTTGTGGGAGACGTCTCCTCCACGTGCACTGCTGCCATTGGAGGCTGTGAAAAGTGACGTGTGGGAACCCGAGCTGTGCCCCCTCTGCCATGGTGTTTTAACCCAACCTCAGAAAGCAGGGGACCAAAATCAAGCCTGTCCTGGAAGACCTCGCCCATCCCCAGAGGGCTCCCCGTCCCTATTCCTCAAGGAGACCAAGAGGGTGAAATGGTCAGCACTGTCATGCTGCAGTGTCCTAAAATCTGCTGTCCTCCTTCCTGCAGACCAGGGCTAAACACTGGTGACCAGGTGCTCTAGCCACGGGTCCTGGTCCAGTCAAGCATGGGTTCAAACATGGCCTGACCCTTAGTCAACCTGCAGGCTGATGTCTAAAGCGGGCGCTGACACGTGCAGCACCTGTAGTCTCCACATGACCCTTAGGGCAGGTCTGCCCCCAGGCCCATGCACAGAAGACCTGCTTTCCCAGCATGCAGGTGACCCTGTGGTGTCCAGGACGATGAGGGAGTCTCTGCATACTTGGTGGGGCTGGGACCCCCTCCCACTTCCCACCTCCTTGTGTCCCTCACTCCCCTGTTTCATTCCACACCGAGCCTCTCCTGCATTGGGCTCCCCTGGGGAGGGGGTGGTGGCGGGAGTTGCCCAAGGGCAGCTCTGCCCATGAGCGGCTGTTCTCACGGCTCCTCCTGCTGCTGTTTGCTGGGTGCTGCTGACCCCTGTGAGGTAGAGAAAAGATGTTCAGGTGGTTCACATCCCACACAGGTGCCCCTCACAGGGTCCTCACTGGGAGCCAGCACTGTGGGTGTGGGGATGAAGACGGGCCTAAACTGCGCAGAGACTCATGTCCCAGGTGCTCCATGTGACCACCTCGGGAGAGGTCTCTGGCTGGTTGTGACCCAGAAGAGTAACCCATCGCCTCCTGCAGCTCTTTCAGACCCAGTTGCAAAGGACAGCTGCATGCTCAACCTGCTGCTGTCCCTGCCGGAGGCCAACCTGCTCACCTTCCTTTTCCTTCTGGACCACCTGAAAAGGTAGCCCAGCTCTCCCATGGCTGCGGGGGGCTCCAGGTCTCCAGGCCATGGGGTGCCCCTCTGCTCCCACCAGACCTCCAGACTGAGGACCTTTTCCCCCGACCCCTGTCTGCAGTCACTTACTGCCTCTAAGGACTAGCAGCACTGCCACCCCTGCCCCTGCCTCTCCTCTTTGCCACGCTCCTCCCTCTGCACTGTGGTCTTAACAAAGAACTCAGAGCTTTGGCCATGGCCAGCAGTGCACTTGAACCGCCCTCTTCCCTCCCAGTCACATCATAGAGGAGACCTCCCCACCAGCCCAGAGCTGGCCCTTTTTCGTGGGCCGCTGAGACTCGGAAGTACCAGGGCTGGAGTCAGCTTGCAGCACAGCCAGGGTCGAGGTCACTCCCTTCCTGAGGACTCCAGCATGGCACAGCCCCTCTGTCTCTCTCGGTGGTGGTATTGAAACAGCACCTGCTGTTTCAGTCCTCTACAGTATGGCAGAGAAGGAGGCAGTCAATAAGATGTCCCTGTACAACCTCACCGCTGTCTTTGGCCCCACACTGCTCCATCCCTCCAAGAAGGAGAGCAAGCTCCCTGCCAATCCAAGCCAGCCCATCATCATGACTGACAGCTGGTCCTTGGAGATCATGTCCCAGGTATGGGAAGACAGGCTCCAGCCCACCCAGCCTGACAGACGTGACCTCTACCTTCTCCACCCACAGTCCTGCCCAACTTTCTACTTGCATTGTATGTAGTGGTGGCAGAGATCCAGAGAAAGGGACTTGCCTAGGTCCGCATGGATGGGAGTGATGCGGGGGGGCCCAGGCCACCTCCTGGTCCTGCTGGTGCACTTTGCTAGAAGCTTAAAATCACCTCAAGTGTTCGGGTGTGGTGGCTCATGCCTGTAATCTTTGGGAGGCCAAGGCAGGATAACCGAACCCAGGTGTTTGAGACCAGTCTGGGCAATGTAGCAATCCCCATCTCTAGAAAAAATACAAAGAAAAATTAGCCAGGCATTGTGGCACACACCTGTAGTCCTAGCTACCTAGGAGGCTGACACAGGAGGATCGCTTGAGCCCAGGAGTTAGAGGCTGCAGAGATCCATGATGGAGCCACTGCACTCCAGCCTGGGGGATAGAGCAAGGCCCTGTGCATCTCTAAAATAAACACCCACCTACCAAGTCATGCCTTGTCAGGACCCCACCCCACCCCCGTCTCACTGTAAGGGGTTCATTACACCAGCAGGGGTTTCCAGCACCTGAGGTGGACTTGGAGGCTTACGCCCCAAAGACCTCCCCACCAGCAGCTGTGAGCCCCCCTCTGAGCTGCTCTCCTCTTCCCCACTCTGCTCGGCAGGTCCAGGTGCTGCTGTACTTCCTGCAGCTGGAGGCCATCCCTGCCCCGGACAGCAAGAGACAGAGCATCCCCCTCTCCACTGAAGTCTGTCTCCAGGAGGTGGACAGACAGCCTGGAAACCTCTGGCTAATCAGGCCATCCATAGAGTGGGAATCAAGATTTTCTGAGGCATCCTTGGGCCTCAGTGTCAGGCCATCTGCCAAGAGACAGAGGCCCAAAGCAGAAGGACATTTGGCCTGGGCAGATCCTGCCCAAGTCTGAAAACCCCAGGCTGCCCTCAGACTGTGTTTTTTTTTATGTGGCCACCTGAGGGCGCCCCAAGCCAGTGCATCTGAGAGTCCAGGCCTGGCCCTGGGAGGCCTGGCCCTGGGAGACAGGGTGAAGACAGTGGTTTTTATGAACTTAACTTATAGAGTTTAAAAGGTTTCTACTGGATCACTTGTCAAGATGCGCTCTCTGCGGGGAGAAGGGAATGTGATCAGATTCCCTCACTGTTGTATCTTGAATAAACGCTGCTGCTTCAGCCTGTGGGGCCATGGCCCTGTCCCTGTGTGGGTGGGGCCTCTTCCATTTCCCTGACTTAGAAACCACACTCCATTTAGAACAGGGTTTGAGAGGCTTAGTCAGCACTGGGTAGCGTTTTGACTCCATTCTTGGCTTCTTTTTCTTTCCAGAAGGATTGTTGTGCAGAAATGGGTCTTTTGTTGCCATGTTTGTCCTCCTTGGAAGGCAGCTCCAGGCAGGCTGTGAAATGTTGGGGGACAGGACCCCCAGGGAGGGAGTCCCAGGCTATGCACTTTAGGGTTCGTTCTCCAGGGACAGCGACCTCGTCCCCTGAGCCTGACCGCCCTTCCGGCGCACGCTCTCCTGTTTGGTTTCCACAGACCTGGACTTCTCTGGTTTCTCTCTGCCCACACACTCCCTGCCCCTGCCCCAGCACAGGTGACTTCATTTCTGTCCTCTCAGCTCAGCAGACTCGCTCAACTTTTGTAAAAGTCTCCACTTGGTGGCAGCTTGCTGATGACTTGTTTTAAAACTTTCAACCTAAATAAGCTTTTGATACTTGAATGTTTTCAAGTTTTATGCATACTTTCTAATTTTTTTTTTTTTTCCTAACAGATCCAGATACCTAATACAATGCTGGAAAGTACTCTGGGGATAATCTGTGTCCTGGCAGCATTTGCTCTTCCTCTAAGCGCCTGGCCCCACTGCTCTTAGGAGTGGGGTTCCAAAGTCTCTGGAGAACAGGATATGTGGAGGGTTAGGAAGGGGCCAACCCTAGAGGAAGACTCCCTCCCAGAGCAGGTGGAGGCACAGGACCAATCGCTACCCCCTCTGCCAGCACCTGCGGGGGAGCCCAGGCATTCTTTGTAAATCCTCATGACCACCTGTCTCAAAGAAAACGGAAGCGTGGAGGCCGCCAAGTATTTTCAAGAAATAACCCCATGAACACTGCATCACTTTTTTAGAAAGAGGGGTTTGGGGCAGAGAGAGGAGAGAAGGGAGAGCAGAGCCAAGTTTCCAGACGGTCCTGCAGGAGGAAAGGATGCAGCTGCCCAGAGGGAAGCAGGATCGAATTCAAGAGAGTGTGTGGGGTCCCTGGATGACACCAGCACCCAGTGTGGCTCTGTCTGGCGACCGCTCCCAAGGTGGAAGCAGTGGGTTTCCCCTGTGTGTCAATGGGCAGCTCCTGCTGAGCCTGCAGCTCATCGGCGAGGCTGACAGCGGGGCTGTGCACCTGACACTTCTCTCTGCTTGTGGACCTGGTGAGGCAGGGAGCAGAAAACAGAGCCATTTGAAGGTTTTCTGTCTGTGTCTGTGTGCGGTGTGGATTTTGTTGTGCTTTTTTCTTGCTGGGAGAGCACGGCCACCATTTGCAAGCAGTGTCACCCTCATGGGTGGTGAGGACAGAACAGGAGCCTCTGCTCTCTGTACCTATCTGGGCCCTGTGAGCTCCCCTGTCCTGGCTTCCATCTCTGTCTCAGTGACCATCCAGCCCTGCAAGGAAACACATCTTTCTTAGAAAAGCCAAATCCAGCCCTTGTCTTGGTCTCCTCTGGTCTCATGATGTGCATCTGTCGCCTTGAAACTGGAAACCAATCTATCAGTGTCTGTACCAATTTTTTGTTCCCTCTCCAACCTCCTTCCCCGTGCGTCTTTTTATTTATGTAGGATGTGTGCTGTCTAATGATGGGATGACCACACTTTTCTATGTTCTTCTAAAAGTGCTCCTCTCCCACAGGGCCCCAGAGCTGATGGTCGCTTTGGGTCTACAGCTCCTGCCTCAAAAGCCTGTGTGGTGGTAAAACCGGTACGGGACTGGGGAATGAAGCATTCTCCAGGAGGGGACCCGGCTCTCCTTCTGCAATGCAGGCAAAGGCCTAGATGCCAGTGTGACCTCCCACAAGGCATGGCTTCAAGACTCCCTGACCAGAAGTGATGCTTTTTTGCCTTGGGCCCTGGGTTTGAAGCAGCCTGGCTTTCTCTCGGTAAGTGGCTGGTGTCTTAGCAGCTGCAATCTGAGCTCAGCCACCTATGCACCACCGTGGGGGAAAGAACTGCCAACACTTTCAATAAAGTTCCCTGAGACGACTTGCGTGCATGTTGATTTCATGAT